GAGAATTTAGGATCAGATTGTGAAAGACACTGTCTGACATGCCAGGAATTCTGAACTTGGTAAAGCAGGCAGACAATAGCCAGTGGGTGTCTTTGTACATAAAACAAAGTCAGTTCTTGGTTTTCAGGATGGTATCACTGGCAGCAATGTGGAAGAGACTGATAAAGAGGGTGGTAAAGAAAAAAGCTGAGGTGACTTTCATGATTCATATATGAATGATGGTGACCTTAACTACAGTAGCAGGGAGTAGAAGTTGCTAGATTGAGTAACTTTTGAGGTAGAACTGACAGGATTCATTAACTAGGTCTATCAGGAGAGGGGAATGAAGAACTGAAGACTCCATGGTTTCTGGCTTGGCTACCATTTATAGAAAAAGAGAATATGGGTATGGGACATTTAGGAACAACGAATGAGTTCCACCTTAGATATTTTTTGGCATATAAGACACATTGCTAGTATTGCATTTTTAGCAATGCTAGCCAGCACAAACTAAATAATAAATCAGCTTATTATTTCTCTTAAAGTATCTATACATGTCATCATTGGCCAATAAAGCTTTACATCCTTACACAAGAACATGCAAAAGAGAAAGTGTGGTGGACTTGTGGAAAGAGATTTTTAGCAATACAGACTCAGAAAAAGGATTTTTATCCACTACTTCCTAGTGTAGTGTTCAAACTAGAGAAAATCATTTTACCTCTTCGCACTTTAGCTATCCAACTGTCAAATGGGAAAGAATACGGTGCATCCTGTAAGTTACGAGGATTAAAATTCTGAAAGTATTTTATATACAACTTGGAAATCAAGAAGTAGTAATAATTATTGATCATAGCATTATTACCCCTTCTCGACACTAGAGCACCTAGAAGAGATACTGACTTTTCAGGATATGTCTACACTTGAGGATTAATTAAATAATAAGGAGGCATAGCAGCCATTGCTTTAACTGTATTCCAGAGAACAAAAGCACAAAATGCCATCAGTCCTTTGGTCAGAGTTTTCAAACTTTGGTCAATGTGATTTCAGCCATATCCAAATACTGCGGCTTAATGTTTTTCTTTAAATCACTTCACTTTTCTCTAATTGTCACATTGTAAAGAATTATAACTGTTAAGTGGTGGGTGTGATTAACCATTAAAATAAAGCATCGTTCTTTACCTACTGTACTCATCTCCCAACCAAGTTCTAAAGTTGCTTTAGGTTTGCTGTATTTCTGAGACTCTTAGGAAGAAAACAGGCTAACAATTTGTGAGTTTTTCTTAATTTTTCTTCTACTGGTGATTAGCACATACAAAGGTTTGTAGAACACACAAAGTCAACCAAATAATAACATCCATCCCAGTAATATGCACTCAATCTTTTCATGGGAAGTTCTAAATTATTTAAAGCTAAATAAACAACCTAGCAATTTATCTTTTATTTAATCCCTCCACTTCTACTTTTTCTATCACAAGTGAAAATAAGACTGGAAACAAAGGCCCATTGTGTGGCCTTGTCTGAAGAACAAAACCAAGGAGAGAAAAAAAGTTATGTGTTTTGTTCTAAAGGTACAGCTTTCAGTCAAAAGAAATGGTAAGTATAGATCATCCAAGTGAAAAACTACTATTGTTAAGATCTTAGAACACTCCTCTGAAAAGGCAAACTACAATCAGTTATTAAAATCCTTTTCAAGCCTATGCTATATATAATCCAGAAAATCACCTGTTATTCCAACAATAACCACTGACCAGAACCATGCGAAAACTCCATTCTACTGGTACATTTATAGATACATGCGCCTACACATCTGCAATTTTGGAGTCTTAAATCCACTATATTAAGAACCATCCTATAGTCTCTAAAAGTCAATCTTAGGATAAGTGATATATTCATCCAGGGGAGAAATGTGTCCTGCACCTAAAATATGTTAAGACATTATGGAGAATATGTAAAGATTGAAGAGTCTGTTATTATTAAGCATAGGGACTAAGATTTATATATTCCCCAAGTGGTGGTTCTAGGACTAAAGAGAACTGCTGGAATTTTCCCCTTTTCCAGCATTTTTAAAAGAGTTATTTATTTATGCATACAGAGCTGGGGTACAGGCCAGAGGTGCAGGGGTGGTGAGAGGCTTCACCAGAGACAGACTGGGGAGCAGAACAGGCAGATCGACGAAGTACACTGCTGAGAGGAGCAGCCTGAGAGGCCAAGAGAGGTCTGCTGTGCCATGGGATTGAACTCACACTGAGGTGGCTGTGGCTAGCTTGCAGTGCTGTGTCCTAACCCACTGCGCCACCAGGGAAGGCCCTTTTCCAGCATTTCATTATGAAAAACTCAAACGAATGGCAAAACTCAAATATTATAATGAACACCTGAATAGCCCACCACCAAAATTCTTTATTATACTTCCTGATTACATATCAACCCATCTTCATTTTTTTTGACGAACTACTGGGTTTTAACAACAAGGCTATGTAGGCAATATTACAGTGGGTTGCTTTCAAAAACTCTCTTGGGGTACAGGTGCGAAAAGAAAATCTGGAATTCACAAACCTGTAGTCAGTGTTCAATTACCCTACCAACCTTTAATCAAAGTCTATTTAGAGTTCACAGGTCATTCCTTCCAGCAATCCTTCCCAGCCCTTGTCAAGGGTCAGCACCAATCTGTGAAGCCTGCCCCAACTTCACTCCCTCACCTAGAACTACCAATGCCCATCATAGGAACTCTTTCTCCATCATTTGTAATTAGTTCACAGTATCTCAACTTTGTTTACAGTCTGTCTGAAAACCCAGACCTCAATGAGAGCAGGTTATCTCCTTATTTACCTCTGCAGCCTCAACAACCTGCACAGACCTAGTCTATAGACACACTCAACAAATGAGTAACAAAAATGAGCCCACCTGTTTTACCCAGAAGCTTAAATTGAGGGAATGATCTAATCTCGAAAGATTCAATATTTTTTGGGTGAGGATGCAGAAAAGAAACACTTTTTCGTTGGTGGTAGGAATGTAAAATGATACAGCCATTTTGAAAAGAGACTTGCAGTGTTCCCAAAGCTAAACACAATCTTACCATGTGATCAAACAGTTGGAATTGCTTGATGGCTAGGCCTGCACCTGATTTTATTATTTATTTTTACTAATTCAAAATTGTTTTGTTCCATTTGCACATTAGAAAATATTAAACTATACTATACCATAAATTTAGGTTCAAATATTTGGAATACTGGTATTAGATTCATTTAGACCACTCTGTTAAGAGTATGAGCTTTGGAGCCAAACTGCCTGGGCATGAATCCCAGTTCTGCTGTTTATTGTTGGGTGATTTTTAAAGCTCCTGTGCCTTGGTTTCCTCATTTGGAAAACAGGAAAAACAGCTTCATTGGTATTTTGAGAATCAAATGTGACTTCTTTTTTCTTAAGGACAAAGACTATTACCTGACACACAGTAAATGTCTATCATTGCTTGATAGTCACTGTTGCCAGCAATCAGGTTAATAACAAGTAGGCCAAAATGTTCTTAAAGCTTGGGTGGGAGCAACGAAACCAAAATACAGAGAATGGCTGTGAAAAAATCTACTGAAAAATGTTCCGCTAGGAAAGCAAGCAAATGAGTGTCCTACTTTATATGTCTGAGATAGTTCATTCACGATTGGATTTACCTTAACTTAAAAACAGCTAAACTCTACCCCATCTAAGTACAGATTTGACTTGCTGGGCACAAGACTCTAGTATGATGGGGTTCTAGTAATAAACTCTATGACCACTGCAAGCTTCTCTAGGTAGGTCTTTCTGTCTCTACCTTGTGACTTCTTTTCTTATTATTAATCCACCCAGCACCATTTTATTGGTCTACGATTTCCTCAATTTCCTGTCCTGTCTTCTAACTGAAAATATCTCCAAGAGTCTTGGTTGGAGCATGCGTTTGAGGTGTCATCCTACCCAACCCTGTACTTTTATTCTTCCTGCCCACCTTCCGTACTTTTCAAACCTGCTATTCCTTCCACGTAGGAACTTGAAACCTAAGAGTATGGGAAAGCCAGAGTAGTAACAGTGGTGCCAAACACTGGGGATGCTGCCAAGTTGTTCTGAAGGCCCCAACTACATGCAGTGATTGGATTTAACTGCCCATGGGGCCTCACACACTGATATTCCCCTTTGCTTCTGCCCGTTTTCTCTCCCACTTAAAGCAGTCTCCTTTCAAACCTGTAACCCATTCAAAACCAACCTGATCCTTAGAGACCAGGTGAGATTCAAAGTCCTCAGGGAAGTCTCTCCTGATCATTTAAGCCCACAGATCTCTCCACCCTCCCTCAACCCTAGCTGGAAAAAATAGGTGCTGAACTTAAAATATGTACCAGAAAGCAAGATCATATATACATTCATACCATTAAATAAACGTTTTGTGTGTTTATATTCAATATATTTTACAAAGGCAGGAAACATGTCTCAATGCTTTTAAAGCTCCTTACTCTCAGATGGTTAATATTTGTTAAGAGTAACTGAATCAGTAGGATATTTGTTTAAGTTAAGGTAGGAGACAGAAACATGATGAAATGAAAAAAAAAAATCAATAGATGGGTAAAAAAGCGGCACTGGGTCAAAATGGGCAGGGAAGTTGTGGGTGTTCAATTAACATGTCTGATTTGCTGAAAAGGTGGAAAGACACAGAGCAGAGAGATGCCAAGGGTAAAAATTCAGAGAAAGGCATTTCAGCCGGATGCAGTAAACAGGTGGAAAAAATGCTGCTAAAACCTAGGATAAGCCAAGTGGGCAACTGAAGGTAAAGGGAGTTACTGGGATGACACTGACAGAGATGTGGTTATGTAGGTGAGCTAACTGGTTGGAAGTGGGATGAAGGGGAGGGTAGATGGATAAAATGGTTGAGGGTAGTTGGTTAACCGGGTTAGCTGGGCCGGTGGTGAGTAGGTAGAAGGGAGGGAGGCAAGTGGATAGTTAGGTGTTCAGTTAAGAAGGAACAGGTGTGGGGTATATTATTTAAGATCCGGCCCCTCCCTCACCTTGACCCGGAAGCGGATGAGTGCTAATCTCACGCAGTGGCTCAGGCAGGCCGGTGGCAGGAACCAGGCCCGTGGAGGAGGGGTGCCCTTGTTGCCCACGTGTCCCACGATCAGTTGCGCTGTCTGCCGCTCGGCCTGGCACCGACGGCCCCACTCTGCCAGCCGGTCCTTACCCAGGCCGCCGGGGAACATGACCACCAATTCCAGGCCGTCGCCGCCGGGATAGGCGCAAGCCTGGCACAGCGCCGACAAGTAGCCCAGCATAGCGTTCCACTGGCCGCCACACACCCAGTCCGTCTGGTAGCCGCCATAAAGCCGCGGCAGCGCCGAGCCCGCGTCCACCAACACTCGGGCCCCGGGCAAAGGAGGGGGGGGCGGCGGCAGCGGCGGCGGGTGCAGCCCGGGGTGCGCCTGGCTGTGGTGATAGAAGTGGTGAGCGGGATGATGGTGCCGAGTCGGTCCCGCGCCCCCGGAGTAGGCACCCAAGGCAGCAGGCGGGAGCGGCATCGGCACAGGCGCAGAGCCCCTGAAGGCGCGTGGAGCTCCCGGTGACAGGGCAGCCGAAGGTGGCAGTTGGCGCTGCTGGTGCTGCTGCTGTTGCTGGCGCGAGACCGTACGCGCGAGTTTGAGGAGGTCCACGGGCACCACGGCCCCGGGGCAGCGCTTTTCCAGGAACTCTTGGAAGCCCTGGACGCCCATGCTTCGTCCGTGGACAGACGACACAGCGGCTGCGCTAACGGACTAGGCGGCGGTCTGGGCGCGAAGTTGGGGGCGGGCGCGTGCGCACTCCGCGGAAGGACTGAGGGGGAGGGGGCGAGAGGTGGGGGCGACGGGAAGGCGGGGGAAGATTCCCGACGCGAAGGAGGGGTGAGGGAATGAGGGCGGGGTGGAGTGGACGCGTGCCCACAGACTGTAATTGGGTGGAGAGGGTTGAGGTCGCCCGACAGGAGAGAAACTGGGACGTTAAAAGCGGTGGTGGGCTCCAGTTAATTTCTTCCGCCCCCCTCCCCCCACCCCGGCCGCTCTACACCACCTCAAAGGGCGGGGGATAAAGGGGCTGTGAGCCTCTGGGAGCCATGTTGCCTTGTCTTTTCTAAGATACACGCTTTCAGCTGGTGGAGTGGGAGCGGAGGGGAAAGGCGGGGCAGAGCTGAATGAAAGGGCATTTTGGGAGTTGTGGTCTTCTTTACGGCTTGGGGACAAAGTGGAGAGCAAGGTTACCACCCTGGTCAACCCTTTTCGCTCACAAGATCACAGGTGGCGGGGCCTGATAACTTGTTTAGGATTTGCACTCCAGCTGCTGGCATCCACTGAGTTGCTGCAAACTATTTACCACCCTTCCCAGGAAAAGGAGTGGGGAAGAGGCAGTGATGCATCATGGGAGAGGGAGGCAGTTGAGTGGATTCACTGAATTTCAACTAAAGTATGCTAAAATTTCCCAGGAGGGAGAATTACTTCTTCTTGGAGAAAAAATAGTATGTGTAGTCTTTCTTTAATGAATGAGAAAGTGTTTCAGGGCCTGAAGAGGGGCACCCAGAACCCCCAAACCTGCCTACTCTAGGTTCTGCCATCTGCTGCATTAAGACAAAAAATATATGACCTTCAGTGGAAAGTAACTTTAATGAAATTATTGTGTAATACAAAAAAGACAAAGAATATAGTTTGCAATCCAAGCACCCAAAGTCACCCGACCCCTCCTGGGTAAATGTTTAGCCAAACAGGGTTGGCCCAAAGCAAGGCCCAAGGCCCAAGGCCCGAAGCCTGCCACAGTCTAAACCACCTTCTGGCCAGCACCCATAGAAAAGAGTCAGAAACAGACAAGTCTGGGAGGAAAAGAGCAAAATCAAAATCAAGACCAACATTGCCATTATTAACCTCCCCATAGGTCTCTCACCCACATCTGTTTTAACCAGTCCAGGACCAAGAAGCAAATACAGCTTCTTCACGTGTCTCTTGCTCCATGTGCCTTCTCCCGGTCTCCTTTTTGCTTTCCATCTTTTCTTCCTCCCTTCTCCAGTCTCCTTTCCAGATTCTTCTCCGCCCTGCTCAGCTCCACCCTCCCTTGGGTGGGGCATGGAACCTGGCACCTCCCCTTTTTCTGGGGACCACCCTGTTACAAAAGGACACATATGAGATGTAAATATAATAACCAGCATTTTCACAGTAATCTACTTACTTTTATGGATTGTAATTCTTTGTAGAGGAGTTGCTTGCCTCAGTTAATGAATGGTGAAACTTACGGTTTTTATTTCCCCAGGGCAGTGGATATGCCTTGTCCTCAGGACCTGTTTGGTCAAGGAGATAAGCACCTACACAGATTAAACTAGATTAAAGTTACATCTTTCTCGTACTGAGTTACAATGAACTAGAGTTAGAACCTTTGTTTCCAAACTTCAGTGCAAAGCAATCAGTCAGATAGCTCTTGCAATATAACCTTAGGGGCTCCAGTTCCAGATATACAGAATCACAGTATTTTGAAATAAAAATCTATTTTCAGAATACTCATTATTTGATTTTGATGTTGCACCAGTCTGCTGGATTTAGGGCCCACTCTTTCAGCAAAAGGACAGAAGACAAACATATTCTATTCTCTAACTAGATTGCTAACCAGACTGGACTTGGACCTTAATGGAAGGAGATAAATACTGTCAGTTTTAACACAAAAGTGCAGAACTCAAGACTAGTGAAGATGAATAAAGTCTGAGAACAGTCTATTAGGATGCAATCACTGAAAACACTTTAAACTACATAAAAGAATAGTGGAGACAAGCCAGATTGGGAAGAAATAAGTAGATGGTAAAACAGAGCACATAGGAAACTCTTTTGAAAGCCACCAGTGAAAGAAGAGAGCAGTGACTTGAAAAGATGAGGGATGGAAAGAATAGAGGCTTTCTAGTATAATGGACACCTGTTGGATTATCTACCCAGCCTTGCATTTTTGGACTTGACCCACTCCCTACCACCCAGAGTTACCAAAAAAAAAAAAAAAAAAAAGAAGAAGAAGAAGAAAGAAAAAACTATCATGTTCCCATAACCATAGCTAATTGAGTCAGAGAATGATGACTAATCCAAAATTGAACAATCAGAATTTCATTCCATAGAAATCTGGAATTGGACCAGAGAGATCAGATTTCCCCACGTGTAAAACTTGGAAGCTATCAGCAGTAAATTTTCCCACCATAGAAACAGAAGTAAAGACGCTGATCTGTGGAAAGAGAACTTTGACGTCTCAAAGCAGAGATGAGAAATGGGGAGTTTTCATTGTGTTTTAATCCCAAGTTCTAGATCATTCTTGAAGCATTCTTGCCTTTGGCTTCTCTGAGCCAATCCCATATTCTGACTATTACCATTTTTTAAAAGATTTATTTATTTATGCATACAGAGCTGGGATACAGACCAGAGGTGCAGGGGTGCTGAGAGGATTCACCAGAGACAGCGTGGGGGAACAGAACAGGCGACTGATGAAGTACACTGCTGAGAGCAGCTGGTGGGTCAAGAGAGGTCTGCCGTGCCATGCTGTCTCCTCAGGGGCTGGGGATTGAACTCATGCTGAGGTGGCTTTAGCTTCACAGTGCTGTGCTTTAACCCACTGCGCCACCAGGGAAGGCCCACTATTACCAATTTTAAGATAGAGTTGTGTTAGAAACTATGACCAAAAAAATGTTAATTCGAGAACAATTACCAGAAATGCAGTGTGGCAAATTATAGACCCTACCATATGAAATTAGTAGAGATTCGAGATCTTCATATAAGTTAATGGGATGCTGACATTCTGTGTTAAAGAAGCAGTTGCTTATTGCTTTTGAAATTCAAAATAAAGCCACACTTCTACTTGTATCCAAAGATATGTGATTGTTAAGGATCAAATATTCTTGGGCTTTGCTGACTTATAGCAATAGAACTCTGTTTCATTTCAAACGTTTCACTGATTAGGAAACTAGCATGTAGATAACAGGTAATACTGTTTTCTGTATAAGCCTCTTGCATTTCTTGTTCTCCAACTCCTCAAATGTGATGTCTCCCTCTGTAAATGCATGCAGTTGCATACAAGGAAGAGTGGTTAATATTCCCAGAGAAGACCAGATATGAAAGGCTTCTTAGCCTGTGTTTCCTATATACATTCTGAATTCAAAACCATGAGCTGAAGGCGAGGGAGTATGAGTCAAGTCTTTAGGTGGAGTGCTAAGAAATAGAAGCTGAAACAGGGTGGGCTCAGTTATTCCCCTTAAAAGATCTGAAGGTTTGGCCCTCCCTAGTGGTGCAGTGGGTTGGAGCGCTGCACTGCAAAACCAAGCCAAGCAATGGCCATTTTAGTGAGAGTTAGATCCCCACCTGGAGGTGATCCACATGGCTCAGCAGACCTCTCCTGTCTCATCTGCTGCTCCCCTCAGCAGTGTACTTCGTGATCTGCCTGTTCTGCTCCCCACTCTGGTGAATCCTCTCAACGCCTTTGTAACTTTGGCCTGTACCCCACCTCTGTATGCATAAATAAATTTTTAAAAATTTGAAGACTCAATACATAACTTGACAAGATTCTTGGTGCTATTAACATTTTGAGTTTCCTTAAGTGAAATCAACGGGCAGTCAAATATTTTGAGGAATCTGTGTCACTGAAAAGTCATATCTGGAGAATAGAGACCATGAGCCAAAGCAATGATTCTCAAAGTATCAACCAGCATATTAGAATCACCAAAAACTGTTAAAAATGTAAATTCTTGGCTAAACCCGACTTCTAGAATCAGAAACACTGGGAGCAGGGGTGGGGTGGAGGGAGCAGTGTTCAGTAATCTGTGGTTCGGTAGTATTACAGATAAACAAAGCCCAGCATTAAAGTGGTGATAACAGATTTTATTCAGTTATTGCTAATAGAGGAATGAGCAGAACTTTCTTCCCATTTGTGCAGAGGTGATTTGGCATTTTAAAGGGAGAATGGGGGAGAGGAGCAAAAAAGGGCTCAGTAGAGTCCGAGAAGCAAAAAATTATACAGGGTTGGTCAATGTAAATACAATTAGGCCAACTGTGTCTGCTAGCTGGCAGTTAAAGAAGTTATGAGTCAATCCTTCCACAGAGACTGGGAGACTGAAGACTTATCCTTCCTGTTAATTACATGTCAAAGGACTGGTCCTTGAAAGACACACTCTGGAATTGTAGGAAATACACAGACATCAAAGGGACAGGGGAAGAATTCACAAGCCCCTTTTAGTAAATGCTCTAAGGAAGGGAGATCAGAGATTCATTGTCGGGTGTTGACTAGAACAAAGTAATTTGACAACCCAGAGCTTTTCTAGTTGGAAACTAGGTCATCCAAGGGACACAATCTTAGGCTGCTCAACTTTAGTCAGGTCTTTTTTTGTACAAACACAAATGTAGTGTTTGTGTAGAGTTGTTGCAGGTCTTATTAGCCCTCCAGGTGATTATAAGGCACTCTTTAAATTTGAGAATTACTGCTTTTCTTGAGCATGCCATAGGTCCCAGTTAAGGAAGAAGGCCATCAATAAATTGGCTCCCATAACATTTTATATGATTGTAATTTATTTCTATCCAGGGAGAAATGATGCGTAGTCAGACCCTGTAGCTGATACTAGGTGCCACTACCCTTTCCTAAAAGGGAATTTTGATTGTGGTTAATCTAATTATTCCTAACTGCCAGTTAATCTACTGGTGACAGGTTTACTAAAGGTTGCAAGATCAACAGAAGCACATTTAGATTGTTACTGAACTTGATGAGGAAGGGGAACACCATCCCATCTTTTTTCTGA